AAGGTGACTGACTGCATGAACCTGAAAAATGTCAGTATACGAGCCTATATGACATCTACTATTTTTTTAAATCTGAGACTTCGATAGCGAAAATCATAATGAGTTTCAGTCGTGTTCAGCAAGAGATAATAAATCTGAATCAATTATTCCCATAGTAGGAAACTATGGCATATAGCATCGAAAATATTAATGGTCTTTTTCAGATTGAATTATATATAACCATATAAGAAAACTCTCAGCTGTTAGTTATCGTTTTTCGCATTCTTAATGCTGTCCGAAGCACTGTATAATAATCATTCTCGACTTTTTTTTACTTCCTAGACACCCGACTCCAACAGCTATTTTACAATGCGGCGATCAAAAGTTATTATAAAGTTCCGTTTTTTCTCAATATGTTGCACTTTTTCGAGATAATGAAAACGAGTTTCAGTAGCAAAAGTAATTTCGTCGAATGTTGCTACCATCTTTCAAAGTTTTCGTTATATCGATGATCGATAATGACAATTTAAAACATATTCTTCTGTCTCATATTTTAAACGAAACTTCAATCTTTATGACTACGGATGAATATAATTGATTTAATTCAAAATACATATTTCAAAGTCTATGCTTAATTATACTCACTTTAGAGAAGAAAAAGCAAAAAATTCGTACTTCACCATTCTCCAAGGATATGTGATAGCTAATCTCTAGAATTTCTTTAATGTTTGAAGTCTGCTATGAACGTGTGTCAGAAACACGTTGGTTTAGGTTCATCTTAAATGAGTCTGTCTGGTGATGAAGTCCAAATACTTTGTTCTACATTAATATTTGATTATCAGTGAAGCATGATGATATATTTGAGTAATATTTCCAGAGAGACTTATATAAAATGAACTTGAACCGACATGCTTATGAAACATATTAGGAGCATATTTGAAATAGTTCAGAAATTCTAAAAAACAGCTTTGACATATTCTTGAAGTGCGGAAAAGTATGCAGTTTTCACTTTTTCCGCCTTGGGATGAGCCAAGAGGGAAATAGCAGAATCCTGGAATCCTATATAATCTGGAAGTCTTGAATTGTTAGATTTATTACTATTGTAGAACAATCTTTTACCATATGTAAACAGTTAATAGAACATTTCTAATAACATTTTTCATAGATACTTCATTCAGAAGTTCATGTTTTCAATCATGACTAGACAAATTTATCTCTTTTGCTATAATTAGATGATCATTAGTATCAAACCATGTCAAATTTTAATCATTAATAAAGAAACTCATTGAATGCTACTATATATTTAGAGCTCTGTTAGAATAAATTGATCTGAATTTATTGATAGATTAACGAAGATACAGGCTCAATTATTGCGCTTGAGGCTGAGATAAGGCATCACTAAGAATCAACACTCAACCAAATACAATTAGCTAGTCATCGATATGTACATATATCAGTGTTGGGTAACTCCAACTCGGAGTTGGAGTTAACTTCGGAGTTGACAGTTTTTTTCATTAGAGTTGGAGTGGAATTTCGCAATTAGTGGGTAGAGTTGGAGCGGAGTTGGAGTTGATGTCTTTTTCCAACTCCAATTTAACTCCTATTGATTTCAAGACTCACCAGAAGAGAACGGAAAAAAGTCGACAGTAAAAACACGTGCATGTTTATGGCATTTATGACGCAATTAAGAAAACTAGGAATGAATGACCACGAATCATTACATCGAGAGAGAGAAAAATAGAGAGATATAAAGAGAACTTAGAAAGTCATTGGTGACGTGATTAAACATTATTTGTTAAACAATTCGATGCATCGAGACTGTACCTGCTGAACGGGCCTTTTCAAAAAGTGGATTATTGATGAAACCACATCGAAATCGACTGTCAAAGGACATGTTATCTATATTAACATTTATTAAATGTAATCTTGACTTGTTGAACTAATATTTCAAGTTTACAATAAAAATTCTATAAAACAATAATAATCCTGCAACTCATTGATATTATTCATAGATTTATATTGAAAAAATTGTCTTTTTAAACTTGTATTCAAATGAGTTTGACTTAGTACACGGTTGGAAAAAATATTATTCCAGGGGGGGTAACGCTATAATTTCAAATAGAAGACATAATCAATTTTATATCAAAGGAAAGCTCGTTAAAAATGGGGTTTATTGGTATTAAATAGTGAGGGTTATGAAAACCTTTTGATGTCGAGCTTAATAAATTTTCAGAAATTTTATACTTTTTTTGGGATGGAAAATTAAAGTACTAGTGATTCAAGAATGGAGTAAAATGTTTTTCTTGAATATTTTTACACGGTTCGATAGAGCTTGTCGAGCTCTATAAAACTGTATACATTAAAAAAAATTTTAAGACACTTTTTTTGCGATAAAAAATTCAAAAAACTATTTGGAAAATCTTAGAAAACATGAAAAAAATTCATATTTTTCATGTGGAAGAACAACACTTACTTTTTCAATAAAAGTAGCTTTTTTCATTGTTTTTACTCCGTCAGGCGTTTCGAAACATACTCATTTGACGCAGCTTTTCACACTGCATCGAACGAGTATATTTCGAGACGTCTGAGGTAGTAAAAACAACGAAAAAAGCTACTTTTATTGAAAAATTGAGCGTGTTTCTTCAATTTGAAAAAAAAAGAGTTTTTAAATGTTTTTGAGGTTTCCCGAATAGTTTTTTGAACTTTTTATCTCAAAAAGATGCCTCAAAAAATTTTTAACATGTACAGTTTTGTAGAGCTCAACGAGGTCTATCAAACCATGTAAAAATATTCAAGAAAAAAATTGACTTCATTTTTGAATCAGTGGCACCTTGATTTTCCACCCCAAAAAAATATAACATTTCTGAAAACTTCTTAAGTTTGACATTAGAAAGTTTTTACAAGCCTCACTATTTAGTATCAATAAACCCCATTTTTGACGAGCTTTCATTTGATATAAAATTCATTATGTCTTCTATTTGAAATTATAGCGTTACCCCCCTGGAATAATATTTTTTCCAACCGTGTATATAAAAAATTGTTGCATGTTTTTCCCGTTCTACAGACGAGTAATTCGATAGTAAACTAATTAATTTATGACATTGTTGTATCATATTGGGAAACTAATGATCTATTGTTGTTTTTCAAGTTCAGGTTCTCATGATATCTATTGCCGTAAAATTTCAACATTAAAACAGTTTTTCATTCAATTAGTTGCATATAATGTTCCAAGAAGAAAAAAAGAGAAAATGATCTCATGAATTATTTTTAAATTTAAAGATTTCAGTGTTCAAGTAGTCGTTGTTTCTTTTTTTTTTGAAAATATAATAAACTGTATAATGAAGTTGTGTATACTTAGTTTAGAGTATTTATTCGTGAACAATTCAGGAATCATATTTGATTAAGAGACTTTTATTTTCAAATAAATTTACAATTTTCTCAATATAGAAAGTGCTACAGGCAAAACTATCATTTTTTTTTGACGCGAATGAAGATGTTGATAACCGAATATGTCTTATAAATCACAAAATTTGAAGTACATAGAGTTCATTTTGTATAGATTCAATTCGTTTTGTTTTGTACGATTATTAAAATGAATTACTTGATTACTATCTAACAATCTCTTTATTTTTCGGCCTATTTTTTTTTCATTTTCATATTATTTTGAAGAAAAGAAGTATATTTTTCATATGTGACTTTAATTTAAATAATAAATTTTCATAATACTATTGTCAATGAAATCATTTTTAATATTTTATTTAACGTAAAATAACTTGGGCACGATATATACATGTGCTGTTGTCTTGTATTTATGCACAACAATTGCAAATATTTGAGATACCTCATATCTTTATGCATAAGATACTACGACTTGAAAATATATTTTGCAATTAAACGCGAGATTTTTAAAATTTCCAACAAACAAGCATGTTCTTTTAAGCTTTTGCGCTTGATTCAGAAGAATTATAGTGAATTTTTTTCCAACTTCGCAGTTTTAATTCTTATGATGAAAGAATCAAAACATCAGTCATCATATTTATTTCTTCCCAGTAATGACGAAATATACCGAAAGATATTGTATCTTTTTGTGGGTGTCTTTGTAGAAGAAATGAGTAACTTTATCCGAAAGAAAAAACAAAGCTCTCAAAAAAATAATATTGAAAAAGTTTATCATGATATTGTTGATCAATCTGATACCGAACACTTTATTTCATTCAAGAAAAAGGCATATAAATCAATAATATTTATATATTAAAAAAAAAGAGAAAGTTTCAAAACTTTCTAATACTTGTTTTTAAAAATTTCTGTTATATTAAAAACTTATATTATCTTCAAAGATAGTATAATGTTAAAATTTACAATATTTCAAAAAAAAGAACTTATTGTTTTACATTGTTGATTGATTTGTGAAGTTAAGAAAACTTTTAACATTTCAGTAATTTTATTTATTCGAAATTCGTACATGAACTCTATCAAAAGCTAATGCCGATCTGTAAACAGAATTTATCATAAACTTTAGTATAGTTTCGCTGTCAGTCGATATCAATTTTTTTGTTTTTGAAGATTAACAATGTAATTAATTACGTAGCGAAATATTGTCTTTTATTGAATACTTTGTTCTTTATTATCAGATGATCGATTGATTTCTATCAAGTTTTCATGTGTGTCCAAAGCAGGCAAGAAAATATATTTTTTGCGAAATAAAATGTATGCTGTTTTTGCTGAGAGGCAAACGATTGTTATTCTTGTAAAAAGTAACTTTGAGTCGTCATCCACTTCAGATTTGTTCTCTTTTCAATAAGTAGGTTTTTTTTATAGAAATGAAAAAAGTCTTTAACTTTGTCGATTTCGTGTGACTCAGGTATATATGATTTTCATGTTTGCTTACTCATAATTGCTGTTTATGACGTCCTTGGAAATATTCTCATTTGTTGGAAATTTCATTTGCTTCCATTTTCTTCCACATATATCTATGCACAAAAAACAAGCTATTGTTGTATTTAGTTTCAATCAGAATTACAATGGCTCTATCAGAGGATCAAAAAATTGATCTATTTGAAGTAAACTTCGATTTCAAATCCTAAATATCATTTGTATTTTATTAATTTATAGTCAATAACTTATCGAAGAGATCGAGAAAATGTGATTGATTTTTTAACACGGTACGAATGGGATATTTATGTACGTGAGTTCTACATTTAGATGAAAAAATTAAATGGAGTTCAAACACTAAATAATTTTTATTTTCATTAGACTGCTATCGAAGCATATTATGCACGTCCTGGTAAATATTTTTCTTTATTTCTTTTTTTTTTAAATAATTTTTTTCTTTTGATCAATGCAGAAGAAATTAGTAATGTTCAATCAAAAACGTTTACTTTATTTCGAACCAATTCAAGAGAAGTAGGATTTCGATATAAATTATCGGATGAACATCCGACAGAACAATAATAAAAAAAAAAATTTTTATTAAAAATCATTTATCTCTTACAGACTCATTCATTGGTAAACGCATCGCTTCATTCATTTAATTCATTACGTCCTTCACTAACATCAAGCAATTACAATCAGAGTACAACTACATCGAATACAGAAACTTTTGATGACCAAATGAATCCATTACTCAAATCAAATATAACAACAATATCTCCAATCTTTCCCCATATCAACCAGTTTGGTCATGGTTAGTTTTAGATTTTTATAGTTTAATTCTCGTCAAAGATAGAAAAATTCAGCTTTGTTGAAACTCTTAACTCTACTGATCATTTATCAAATAAAAATGATAGACACAAAGAATAATAAAATCCTTTGCAAAAAAAAAACTAATGCAAAGGAATTTATTCTTTATAAATAAAATCAGAGAATGTAGGACTTTTTATAATCAGAGTTAGTGGCTGATTTAAAAAAAAATTTAAAATTGAAGTTGCCCATCTCTACCATGAATCAATTTTTTTTGTTTACACTAATCGGATAAATTATTATTTAGACAAAAAACAACTTCTTCAATATATTGATTCGAATATTATTGGTAAAAATCTTCTATTCGATACTCCATGGGGATCTCGAGAAAGTATGATTATCTCTACTCTTATTATACTAAGAAATCAATTTTTCTTCTATAGTTATTTATGCTGATTATACAGCATCTGGACGTGCTTTAATATTTATCGAACAGTATATCTTATCAAACGTGTTACCTTAGTAAGAATAATTTCGATCCTAAAATAAGAAATAATATTATTTTTTAGTTATGCTAATACACACAGTGAAAATAATGCATGTGCATTACAAACTACAAAATTTCGTGAAGGATCACGAGCAATGATTAAACGCTATGTCAATGCAACCGATGACGATGTTCTTATTTTTACTGGATCAGGTAAATAAATATTTATTCTTCATTTAAATAATATTAAAAAAAAAATAATCGACAATTTTTTTAGGATCAACCGCTGCTATTAATAAACTTGTTGATGTATTACATCTAAAAGATGAACAAGTTCGAAGTACAACTGTTGTTTTTATTAGTACATTTGAACATCATTCAAATATTTTACCTTGGAAAGAAACAGGAGTGGAGGTATATTTCTTTTAAAATCTCTTATTTACAAAGTCATAATGTTTATCTATAGGTTATACGTATTCCAAATAATAAGTTAGGTCTTCTTGATGAAGATTTTTTACAAAATCAATTGAAATATTATCGTGATGAAGTTAAAAAACATATTATTTGTACATTTAATGCTGCTAGTAATGTAACTGGTATTCGAACTGATGTGGATCATATATCAAAACTTGTTCATCAATATGATGGTTTGATCTTTTGGGATTATGCAGCAGCAGCACCTTATATTAAAGTTGATATGAATCCATCAAAATTTGATTATAAAGATGCTGTTTTTATTTCTACGCATAAATTTATTGGTGGACCATCGACACCAGGTTGATATTGACTTGATTGAGAGAAATGAATGAATTTATATAAAAATAATTTTGTTTTTTTTAAATTTAGGTATTTTAATTGCTAAGAAAAAACTTTTTACCAATCAAGTTCCAAGTGCTTGTGGAGGTGGTACAGTAAATTTTGTTACTCGAGAACACGTTGAATATGCGACAGATATTGAAACACGTGAAGAAGGTGGAACACCCAATATTCTTGGTGCTATTCGAGCTGGTTTAGTTTTTCATTTAAAAGAATCTGTTGGTTGTGATACAATTGAAGCACGTGAGGATGCATTAGTTTCAAAATTCTTTACACGATTTCGAAATCATCAAACATTATTTATACTTGGATCATCAACTGTTTCTCGACTAGGAATATTTTCATTTCTTATTTATGTACCATTTTTTCAGAAATATTTACATCATAATTTTATTTGTGTTTTATTAAATGATTTATTTGGTATTCAAGTACGATCCGGATGTTCTTGTGCTGGACCTTATGTTTTAGTAAGTATAATTTTGAGAAAAGTTTATTTATTTTTGAATAAAATTTTTCTTTTTTGTCTAATTTAGGATCTACTTAATATTAATGATCAAGCAGCAAACATTTATACAAGATTTATTACAGTAGATGAAAAGTAAATTTTAATAAATAGATTTTTTTGAAATAATTCATAAAAATTTTAGTGCTCGATCTGATGGAATTCCTAAAATTGAATTAATGAAACCCGGCTTTACTCGATTTAATTTATCATATTTTGCAAGTGATGAAGAAGTTGATTATATTTTAAATGCAGTCGAATTTATTGCAAATGATGGATGGAAATTTTTACCATTGGTAAAAATTATTTTTTAATAATTTGTATTTAAAATAAATTACCTTTACTTTGTTTTTTTTGTTGTTTTAGTATACTTATGATCCACAAACTGCTGTTTGGCATTCTCGTACTATGTCATCACAAAATCAATCTTCTCAATATCATAGTCTTCAAATGATTACTTATGCAAATGGTACAATGGAAGAGAATATTAGACAACAACAAAACGAGCTTTTTGTAATTAAACTTGATTTTTCTATATATAAGTTTATATATTTTTTTTCGTATAGAATTCAAATGCTCCTCATCTTATCATAAATCCATCTTCAGATGATCCGATAGAGGAAGCTAAATCAATAGCAAATAATATACCAAAATATGTTTATGAAAATTTTGATTCTCAAACTGATCCACCATTAAATATTCCAGATGAATATACAAATTTTGTTTGGTTTGTTATACCGAGAGACATTATTCGAAAAATGATCATTGATTTTGGAAGAAATAAAGAAAATACTCTTCAATCAGCACCATTTCGTCCGAGAGTCGATGATTAATAAATTATCAACAATAAACTCGATACTGTTATATTTATCAAAAACTTTTAATCGATTTCATTTTTAATCTGTTAAAATTTTCTCATCAATCGTCAGCCATCATATGGATTGAATTGTGAATATGTAATTATACATAATTATTTCCAAAAATAAAAATAAACTTGTACGTTTTTGTACGAATTTCTTACTTTCTATAAATATCTACTTGAATTGTTGCATCTTTGAAATGATGGAGAACCACAGAAATAATATTCTGTTGCAGGATTATTGAAAACTTTATTGATTTAATTTTGAAAGAACTAATATGAAAACATTAGTTTTCTATCAGATATTCTCATAGAGTAGTTTTTCACCCTGTCTCATTGGACAAGACAAGATGCTTTACAAGAAAAAGACATAGTTGATTTTTTGATTCCGGGAAAATCTAAAAGTCAAGGAGAAACTTCTCGCATATTTTTCAGAGGACTACTTACTAATATGACTGTAGTCAATGTTCAACTATATAACGAACATGTTAGGTTCTATGCACCACAGATAGCAACAACACACAAGACATGCTTTTTCCTTACCATCATACATTGTGACAGACATCTTAACGAAATTTCTCAGGAATTGTGACGAAGGATAATGATGTGGGTGTGGAGTATGGATAAAGAAAAGAACTAAACTCACACCCACAGTTCCACACAAACACCCCAACGCCTGTACCAATTCTTTAAATTTGGCAAGCCAACATTATTTGTTAATGTGAGAACAACCAGATATTTTTTTCTTTTTGTTTTAGAATAAGTAATACAAGAAAGATCAATATGTAAATAATAATTGAATTTTATAATTTTTTTTTTGTTTACTTGAACGAAACGACAATAACAGAAGGAGAAAAAAAGCAAACATAATAAGAAATATAATTTAGAAAGAAAGTATAAGTAACCCGAGGTCTTTCGAATTTTTATCTTTGTCAAGTGAGTTAAAATGGGGCATGAACAGGGCTGGGCGAGTCCGAGTCATGACTCGGACTCGAGTCGACTCGAGTCACTTTTTTTTACTGACTCGGACTCGACTCGGACTCGGAAATTTCGAAACGATGACTCGACTCGAATAGTCGAGTCATTCTCGAGTCAGTCGTTAAAAGAAAGAGGTTTGGTTGGCTCGTATAAAAAATTACAATTTTTAAGATAAATTTTTCGCTTATACAAAACTTTCTCACCAATTGAATATGTTCGATCCTGTGAATTTTCAAAAGAAAATTTTTCGATATTCGTATTCATGTCGGATATGGCTGTCTACGCGTAGTATTGGATATGTGCTCTTTCGGGTTGTTTTCTTTGCGCTCATTTTTGAAAGTGTGCAACATATATGAAGATAAATAAATGATATTTTTACATTATGTGTTCTGCTACATCAACAACGATTGAACTTGTCTTTTTTTCAATGTAATCTTTTAATGAAATCGAATCGTCCAAGGTTTACAGAAGCTACTATTTGTCTTTTACCATCTTTGAGATGCAATAAGACATTAATTTCTAATGAATAAATTCTGCGCTATGCTCCTGCAGAGTGGGAAGCAGAGGGTCCGAACCGTCACTTTTGAAAAGTAGTGACTTTCTATAGCGAAATTGCTGTAGAAATTTTGTTTTAAAATCTGAATATTATAACTTTCTCCTGAAGATAGTATGCGAAACTTCACGACAGATACATTAGGATCACCACTCTATTCCTTTGGGTACATTCCTGAATACATTTTGCTCGTAAACAGGTTTAGTTGTAACTTTCTGTTCATAAAAAAAGACACTTTTCTTTACTGTACAGTTAATCGTGCTGCTACTTTTGTAGTTAGTCTAGAGTAATTGTATCTTTTTATTTTGTAGGTGGTTTTCCTTTTATCAGTTTTTGTTCCTATGATCTTGTAATTAGATACTGTGCAACGAAAGTTTCTTATGAATCTTCTTGGTAAAAATAAACAGAGAAGAATAGCAAACCAAAAAAATTATTTGACTCGACTCGACTTGACTCGGTAACACCGATGACTTGACTTGACTCGACTCGAAATTTTTTTTATATGACTCGGACTTGACTCGACTCGAGAAAAGGCTTGACTCGCCCAGCCCTGGGCATGAATGTGTAGAAGATAATGTTCATATCCACATCCACACTCTAACTTCTCTTTGATTCTAATGAAAGATGTTGCATTACTTTCAAGAACTTAAGTTCAAAGTTAGAAAAAATCAGAGCGAAGTCACTATATTTTGAAAAGCCGGTTTTTTGGGTGAGACGAGTACAAAGACCTTGAAATAATATTGCTTAGTTTAGTAATGATATTCAGTTGTGTTCTTGATATAAAAGGCGTCTACATTTGTTTTTTATTGAGTATAAAGATCGAGATGATGGTGCACCCTAAAGATTGGTGTGAAACTTTTGGTGTTCACAGTTGTTGTATAGGAGAATATATTATGTATTTATTTCTGCAAAAATAAATGTTCTCTTCCGTCTGTCTCTCTGATTTCCGAGTTGTCTTTTTCGAAGAGAAATCTTGAATAAAACACTGGATGTCTACACACATTTCCAGTAAAACACATGTAATAACATGCATTTAAGATTTTTTCTTTATTCACGTTTAAGTTTATATTATAATAGAAAATACCTCTGACGTCTAATGAGTTATGTACCATTCAATAATAATGAATTTATATGAGTTTACATTTTTATGTAGTTGACACTAATAGAACAACAAGTTTATGAGTTTAAAAAAAATAATAATGAAAGGATCGTTCTTTTGGAAGTTGGATAAAAATTTAAATTAATAGTATACTGTTAGTGTTTGATCGACAAGTTTAATGTTAACATGCACATATCAGTGTAGCAATATTCATTATTTAGGATCTAGTGTCTAATGATAGGCATGTTTCAACAAATTCATTAAATAAGTACTCAATACTGAACAATATATTAAGGTAGGTCATTATTTGAATATAGCTATGATATAGAGTTAACAGATTATTCTGGACTTTGTACATTTAGTAAAGAAGTCTTACGAGGGAATATATTTGAGTGTACCTACTGAGAAAGACTTTAAATGCATTCTATTCAGTGAGGACCTCGATGAATATCTCGAATATGAATCTCTTAGCTACCCTCATTTTGATTTGGAAAAACAAAAATCCCAACTTTTTCGTTTCTGGAGTCTTTCCTAATAGTAGGTATATCACATCATCCTTCACCTTTGTCATGTTTGCAAGAACGATCAGTTTTTTGAGCGAGGAACTAGAATATGAAGAAGAATCCATATACTGGAGCCATCTCTCTGTCACAAGTAAACATATCATGTTTATTCTCCGAGTCTAGTTATTTCTGTACTGTACGCAACCATGTCTAAGATTTTAATATAGGGCACTTTTAGAAGGGAAAGTCAAAATATGTCAAAAGTCATTTTTAAGGCTATCCAGAGTAGTATGAGCTCATCTTTCGATCAACTTTGGTCTGAAAAATTTTTAAAAATTCAGAATGAAAGAGTGACTGTCTGATAGCTTTCCTTAAATTCGATACTGCTACTGTGTTATTAAATTATTGAAAATGGCCAGCAATCGATCAGATGAGCATGTAGATGAGAAATATAGATGTGATACCCTTATGTATGACGAAGAGATGGCTTCAATATATGGATTCTTCTTCATATTCTAGTTTCTCTCTAAAAAAACTGATCGTTCTTGCAAACATGACAAAGGTGGAGGATGATGTGATATACCTACTATAAGGAAAGACTCTAGAAACGAAAAAGTTTGAAAGGGTGTGGGTGGGTGTGGGTGTGGGTATGGGAAGTGGATGTTCTTCTCACTCACACTGACACCCACAGCCCACATCAGTCTTAATATAATATTGAAAATATATTCATGTAAAATCTATGGCTATACTGATACGACCTGAATCAGACTACAATTAACAACTTCGTTCTTCGAGTTGTTTTAGTTCAATGGTTGTTTGCTTGTCGTCTAATGTATTTCATCTTCTGTTCTCTTGTTCGAATCTCGCTTGCAGCTTGTGTTAAGTAGTCATAATTATATATGAATGAATGATAGGATAGTAGAATTGGATCATCAGATGAATAAATAATCGAGAGACTACTAAGGTTTTGCTTTTTGACACTCCAAAAAATGCATTTCGTGTCAGTTTTTTCATCAACAGCGAAACGCGTTCTTCTTAGCAGCGTTTCGCATCGTTACTTTTAACATCAGAGAAATGTATTAAACCGGCCTGCATTAACACATTTCTGAAACACGTTTTTTTCGCAGAAATTGATGCCATGAGCTATTCTATAAGATATCGAAATGATTCTTTTTTAGAAGTTGATATTATTAGCTGTTTTAAGCAATAAATTTACAAAGAATTTCTATCAAATCAGGATTGCTACTGGGGAATAACTAATTGGATCCATTTATTTTCATTTTATTAATCATTTTAGTTTTTTCTTTGAAACATTTTGAAAAAAATCCAATGATTAATCAAGATTTTATTAATAAATAATTTGAGTATTTTATAAATTTCATGTAACTATCTTTTTAGCTCGCAACTCAGAAAACTAAAATAGATTAGTTCATTAATATTCTAATCGTGAACCGTTGATTCCATGAACTCTGCAGCCTATGTTTTTGCTCAAATTCCGATGATTTCGACTTTATAGAATATATTATTCTCATAAAAGGAAAAAGTTCGATAAATAAAATCATAAATCGGTCTGTCTAGAATATTTCTGTGTATTTTTCTTAGAAAATATGTTAGATCCCGCTGACAGATCAATAGTTTGTTCTTTTTCTAAGTTTTTCGTCTATTTTCTTTAATTTACATTTAATATCTACATTGAAACATTTATGTGTTGAACGAAATATGAATATTTTTTATTGAGTCAATGATGCGATACTCTCGATTCTATTAATAAAATAGTAATCAAACAATAATTATAATCTCTTATTATTTATAATTAATATTTTAAGGTTATTCTTGTTTAT